AACCGCACGGTTCTCTCCTCGGCTTACTTCCTTGCATAACACGCCCTTCAATTTTTAGTCTAACGATTTTAGAAAAAAGTATCATCTTATAGACGTAAAAATACAGTACTTGAGTGAGAATGCTGGCTGTGGGAGTTTAGTGGCAGTGGAGATTGGATGGGCGTGCCACGCCCATTCTGGGATTTGGCCCTCTTGAGCAAGGTGTGACAATAGTTAATGAAAAGGTTGCCCTAATCTGAATTATACCTTCACACATTCCTTTCAGTATCAGTATACTGCATATTCTGGGCAATGTTTTCTATGTGTAGTTGGGGCCTATTTGACAAGTTAAGCTTTTGCAACTCCAAAACAAAACGGTTGCAACCTAATTTGCATGGCCTACCAAAAATCCTGACTCTTTTCCTCCCCCCTCCTTTGAGTTAGTAACATCCAGATGCTAAGATTCATATGGAAATACTACTTATTCAGAAAACACACTTAGGTCTGCTTGTTATGGATTGCATCTTCTAGTTTTTTAACCTAGATGAGAGGAGAGCACCTAAAAAAGGTATAGCCTGTCACTTAGTTGCTTTCTCGGGGAATATTTCTTCAAATAGCAGCCAGACTAGATTATATGTAGGCTTTATTTAATGTAGGGGTTATCTAATGTGCACTGGTCTTTTATTATGCTGGACGTGAATGTCAGAGTCATTAGAGTTCTACTCTGTGGTAGAGAAAACAGGACAGCTGCTTTTATTTTAAAAGGCAGGAAGGTTGTGAACATAATGGGACAGATGTTTTGTGGTGGATTCCATTTTGTGGGGCTAAGCTGTATAAGAAAATACATTCAGCAGAAAATCGGAGATTTCAAAATGCATAGTGCAGTTAAAGATATGCCTATGTGTTAGACTCATTATGTGTTGATACAGGATTGTTCAGTAACATTCCCAGCATAAATGGGGTGGACTTTTACTGAAAGTAAAATTAATTTGCTTGTTGAAGATACTTCATTTCATTTCATTTTTAGGTCGCCCAAGTCCCAAGATGTAAGATTCTGGGCATCTTACAACTAAAAACAAACTCATTAAAAGAAAAATACTGCAAACTGTAAGGGCGAAGTTCAAAAAACAAAACCAAAAAAATAAAACCAAAATGAAATAAAACCAAAAAGGGTTCTCCAGTCACCCTGTCCCCAAGGCCTGGAAGAACAACCAGGGCTTCAACAACTTCCTGAATTGCATAAGGGTAGGAATCACTCAACTGAGCCAGATGGGCAGAGACAACTAGAAATAAGTAGTCCCTCAAATAATTAGGCCGTATTCCATGAAGGTGATAACCATCACCATGAATTGCACCCAGAAGCCTACAGGCAACCTGTGCAGCTCGCAAAGCAGTGGGGTCACATGTAAATAATTCAGAGCCCCTTTCACTACCCATGGTGCCACATTTTGAACCAGCAGCAGCTTCCAGATAGTCTTCAAGGGCAGCCCCATGTAGAGCTCATTGCAGTAATCCAATTGTGAAGTGATTAGGGCATGAGTGAATGTTGCTATTTTTGTTATGGATCATCATGGCTGTTGTTAATTTTAGATAATTTTCTTGTAAATCAAAATTCTGTTCATTCAAATGTAGTATACTTGAATGCTCCAAGTCTTTTATTCATACATATTAGTCATCATACATTTATCACCGATATGCAAAGAGTTTTTCTTGGCTTGGACAGCACTAACATGTGGGCATCTTCTGCAACCCAGAAATTGATTTATATGTCTCCGCAGAGTTACATTTATGAGCTGGGCAGCCAAATAAATCAATTTAAATAAACAAATAAACCTGAACGGCACATTCACAGACCATTGCAGCTGCTTACATTTATAATATGAACATATAATTTCCCTGAAATTTAGGGAAATTATGTATTGTAGTAATTAGATTTCACATTTCAGGAGCGTATTTCAACCTGTAATGTGAAGTTTAGGAAAAGACAGAGTAAACTGGAAAAAACCCAGGGTTCATTCCGAACTAATTTTTAGAGAAGCATCAATGAGATTTTTTAATACTCTTAAAACTGGAATGTAAGAAGAGGTATTAAGGAAAGCTTTTTTATTATAATTGTTTTTCCTTTTGAAAGGTTTGCTGAAAACTTTTTTGATATGCTATTGTTCTTATCAAAACTGCAGATTTTTGTAATAAAGCTAGAAAGAAATTGAATGCTGTACAGGCACATCTTTCTAAAGATGTGCCACTGTGTTGCTGTCATATGAAAAAGCTCTCTGTAGAAATGAAAACTGGAAACTTTGTTAAATTGTTTCCAAGTTCTTGAAAGATAGATTCTACAACTGGTGACACACATCTTTTGATGCCTTTCCAAAAGTGGTTTTGACTGTTATATTCTTATTCATGCCATAAAATACTGAGTTGCAACAATTACAAATTCACTAGGAAAATATATTGTGCGACTGAGAGATGGGGTGAGTGTTAAATAAACTAACATAAAACCACTTTGGGGAGGTACTTACTTCTTTAAATCACCATATGCTTCCTTTTCCTTGCAGCAGCAGGATGGAATTGAATGAGAAAGCATGCTGACTAACAAGCCAGAATCAGTAACTTCAAATTTGTGATTTTTGTTGCCTGCACTGGGAGTTGTGATCTTGAGTTTGAGCTGCAGAATCTTTCCAAGTGACTCCAGAAGTGTTTAAACAGCCATGGCATTCTTCACTCCATGGAAATTGTCCTCTCAGAAACTTGGCTTCTTTCTAGTGACTTTTGGCTTCATTTGGGGAATGATGCTCCTGCATTTTACTATTCAACAGAAGACTCAGCATGAAAGCAGTTCAGTGCTTCGTGAACAAATATTGGATCTCAGTAAAAGATACATAAAAGCATTAGCAGAAGAGAATAGAAATGTAGTGGATGGACCTTATGTTGGGACAATGACTGCATATGGTGAGTAGGTTTGAGTAGATTCCTAAAATAGAAGGTGATTATTATAATGACAGTTATTTCGAAAATATACATCTCTATGTCATGACTTCATCAGTATCTGTCAAGTCAACTGCATCAGCCTATAGTTAGGGTTTAGAACTT